GGGGGGAAGGGGGAGGAAAGAGGGGGGTCACGATTCCCACTGCTGCCCTTCGTTTCATCCCCTTGCTGTCGATTTCCATTTCCACCTTCCTTTTCCTTCCCCTGCCCATCCCTCTTCCCTCCTTTCTCGGTGTCCTCTGTTGGTGGTGGGCCGATTATTGTTTTTCCTTCTTTCTTCAAGTTCTTCTTTGTCGGACAACACTCGTCGTCTTCCCTGTGGACTTTAGCTCTGCATACTCGACACCACGGAGTCTGGGCGTGGAGTACTTCTATTTCAACGTACCCATCGTCCTGCATGTCGATAATTAAATATGGTTTGTAATTCAGGCAGGCTGAGGCTTCGAGATCGAATTTCACATTGACAAGCTCCAGTGAAACCGGATCGGCAAACGTATGATATTTTTTTCAGAATTTTGCCAAATAATTTTTGGATTGTCGTTGACAAATAAGAAAGGGCGACTACCGGTACATACATGCACCGAATCCAAAAATACCTAAAGCGCATGGCCTCACGCCATTCGAAGAGTTCCCCTTCAGACATCCGGGGTTTGAAGGAGACAGTGTAGGTCTTCCCGTCTAAAGTGATAGAATCTTCCTTCTTTTTAAGAAGCTACTTAGCAATTTCTTTTGCCGATGCCACACACGTGACTAAGCTGAACCCCTCGTTATGGAATACGCCCCTCTCTGGAGGGGCTGTGACGCCCGAACTCACTCCCGACGCGACTTCCTGATCGGAGTGGAATGTAGGCCTGGAAGTGCGAAAAGAGGTGTGCCAAGGATTTTTCGGGAAGTGGTGGTGGAGTCCCAGGTCGGAATTGAGATCTCTTGTGGCAAAGTCTTAGGGGCATAGATGCAATAGAGCTAAGGGGGCGGGTTACTTTCGGTCTGTTGGCGTTCGATGTCGTGCAGCATAAGGTAGATGGCATGCGCGGTGCATTCAAGGTCGTCCGATCCATCCGTTTTGAGGGCGGCGGTTCGGGGAGAGGCCCGCCCGGGATGGTTTTGTTCCCGATGAGTTGGACCTTTGAGTGCAGATACGTGGCGTCTGTCGTCGCGCGTTTGGGTTAGGCCCTCTTTCAGGGGCTCGTCGGTTGCTGCGTCGCCGACAATTTCCGTAGGGCGTGCGGGGCCAGTACGGGGCGATGGAATTCCACGGAACCACCGTGAGTTGGTGATACGGAAGGAGGAAACGGAAGGGAGGGAAATTGGTAGAGATAACGACAAAGCCAGGGGATATGAAATATTGCGTGTTGTTCGAAGTGGGAAAATTGGGGCACCTCGGATCGCTGGTTGTGGCGCAGCGGTTAGGCAGGGGAATTCCAGGTATCTTTGCCTAATACACTTTATCACCCAAGGGTCGAAGTACTCTGACTCCCAGGAGCCTGGCATCTTATCATTGCAGTGTGATGGAATTTTTCCGCATGCGTCTAACCGGCAAGGAGATTTTCCGATGTGATATCAGGAACTCCTATCCGTTTAAGTGTGTGGGGGAAGGAAAATTCCCGCCTATCCGATATCAAGGGTATCAAGTTCGTCAATGGTCGCGAATCGGCGCGCGTGGATACGTGTAGGCTGCGCAGATCGGATCGCGCTTACACGCATCCCCGCGAGGTATTCGCTTGTTTCTGGACAAACCACTACCCAATCATCTAATCACTCCGTGATCCCGCACGCAATCGTTCCTGAGCACGCAAGGGACTATTACACATCAGGCATCACAGCAACAACAGTGGCTCAAAAAGGAATAAACAACAACGGAAGCAGTAATGACGACTACACAGAAGTTTCTACTATGTTAATGAGTGTATCAAAATGACAAGCGAAGGCAAGGACCAGACAAAAGAAAAGCAACAAACATGACATTCGTTCATCCATTCATTCGACAAAACACACAACAAACGAGATCGAGATCAATCGCAAAACGAGTGCGGGCTGAGATTCCGAAAGCAAAAGAAAACGGGCGAGTCGCCCAGAGACGAGATCAAAATTTATATACAAAAGCAAAGAGGGAGAAAAGACAAAGAAAACTCCGAATCCACGTCCATCAACCTCAACTCCTTCTTCCTCTCTCTCTCTCTCCGATGCGGACAGTCCGTCGTCACGCACCAAACCACGAAGTCGTCACCCCGCTTAGTCCTCCTACACCCGTCAGGTTCGCCCGCGCGCTACAGTCCGTCGTAGCCCCACGCGTCAGCCCCGCGCATTCGGCACCAGCTCGTCGAGGCGCCCGACTCCCACTTCAACTCACCTCTTACTTCGCTCGTGAGCCGACCCTCACTGATCGCGCTACCCCGAGCTTCCAACAGCTGGTTAAGAGAGCTATCTAATCGCGCAGCCATAATTTATAGCGTGCATGCATGCACGGAGAACACGAAATTGCAAGGACTATGAAAGGAGATTAGGAAAGGGAGCGCCTACGTTCTACATGGCCAGACCGCGGCGTGGGGGACGTAGCCACTCTCCACGCATCGATCCGAGAATGCAAGCCGTGGGCTAACTAGGCCCAGCAGAAGGGGAAGGGAGACCGGGAAAGACGAAGCTCAAGAAGAAAGATACAAGATACAGTTACAATGGCGCGCGCCCAAAAAATACAGTTACTTGCAAGATTAAGGACGCCGACTAATCAGAACTCCATTGCAACCGCAAAAAGAAGCGCGCAAGAAGGACAGCGCGCGGCAAAAGAAATCCCGAATTCCTAAATTCCTAGCTAATGCAAAAAGAAATACTTATTCCAAAAACAAATCCAAAGTTCAGAGAGCCGTCAAGGCTCGACAAGATTCAAAAGAAGAGAAAGAAAAATGAAAAGAACGAAGCGAAAATTCCCGCGGGATCTCCGTGCCTAAAATCCGACAACAGGACAGGAGAGAAGTGACGTCAACCATTATTAATCGCGCCTTTGTCGGCGCGCCAGCCACTCAATCGGCCGTCTCGGGACTTGCCCGGCCCTGAACCCAGCCATCCGAAAAGAAACGACGCAAAAAGGACGAAGAAGTGAGGACACTGATGCAATTTTTCCTCAATCCCGATCTCCCGTAATTGGCCCAACCTTCCCATCTTAGGACCCCTCATTGTCATCGCGCAGAAGATCGCGTGGAACAGAAATTGGTTCGTCACAGGGCACTAATTGCCCCACCCTTTGCCCAGCCGTTTTCGTAAATCCGAGTCAAACGGATCTTTACAGCTACAGGTAACGATTTGGAGTCATTTCCAAAGAGTACTGACACAGCGTTTTCCTTGAGCCATTCTTCCTGAATCGCATAGTGTTGGGGGTTGACTTGTACACGTTCAAAGTCTTCCAGAATGACTCCTTCGTTGTAGCAGTCAGCAATGATCCCTTTGATTCTATCCTTTTCACCCGAACTTAACAACGGCACAGGACAGGCTGATGAGGTTTCCCCCATTTTGACGAGTATTGGTCAACAAAGTTTCGAAGGTAACCAGGTTCAGTAAATAACAGAAATACGTAATTCAATCAACTAGACTCTTTTAACCATTAGAACACGCAAAGTTCTAAAAACAACTACAAGCCTAAAAGATAGGGAATAGTCAGACCATACCCCCTTAGGTTAGAGCAAAAAGAGTTTTACCCATCAAGCTGTGTGCACCAAGTCTCGCTTCTTCTTCTCCTCTTTGAGGGGGGGGGGCGATACCGACCGGAAGGGGGCCTCCCCTTGCCGCCTCCCTGGCAGGAAATAACCCCATGAAAGCCCTGTAGTACCCGCCTCTAACATCCTCCCTCCTCCCCTCACTTCTTCTACACACAACAGGTTCTCCTCTTGCGGTAACACCGATATCGCAATGGCGTCATGGGTATGGCAATTTCGTGGGCATGGCAGCGCTGATTCCTGCCCTAATCGCCTGCCCTAATCGCCCTTAGGCGGTAAGCACCGCCGAGGCGACGCTCAGCGCATGGATAAGCGCTACCGGCCGCCGTTGCGCCTCCCACGTCCCCTTTGCGCATTTCGAGAGTCTGAAGTGGAAAAGTTGAAAATGATGTTTTTCGAAATTTTCCTGATCTACATTCTTCTTCCGTCACATATCATGGCGGGGAAAATCCATATATATTAGGGGGTTGGGGTGGTCACAGGCGATGCCCGGGCCAGAAGCCGTGGGATATTGCTGTTCATTCATCACTGGTATCATGCAAAAGGGACGATGCGCCTCGCCACACCACTCGCCAAACGCCCAAAATTCGGAATGAACCTGAACCTGAAACGGGGTCCAGATACGTTCATAATGTTACCATTTGGCTGCAGCAAGCCCCGATGACCCTGTTTCCCTTCACATCCTGCTCCCCGCGAGTATAGGCGATGACGTTTGGTGAGTGGAGCAGCAACTCCGAGACCCTCTGACCCGTGAAAGGGCCTTTCCAAACCACTCTCGAAATGTCGAAAAGACAAAAATGTGGCAAGTGCATCTGGCCATGTTCTAAGAGGAAGGTCATTCTCATTTTGCAGATTTCGAGAGTGGCGTGGTGATGTCCTTTTAAGGATTGAACCGCCATGAACCGCCATGATTCTCGAGGTCGATTCTGGCCCGTCTGCATCTCCGAAAGGCCCGCGTGATAGAGGGACTTGCCACACCACTCACCAACTGCACAAAAGACAATATTTATAATCATAGTGGCGCATCTTTCCGAGTTGCCATGTGGAGATTCTTTCTCTCTCCGTACTTTTTGGACCGTGGTAGCACGTACATTATTCGATACCTAAAATACAGAAAAAAGGGGAAAAAAGCATTATTGGATACCCGGCCCAAGTGATGCACACATGTGACTGATAGCGAACACCTCGTGAAGGAAGGGAGAAACCACTCCCGCACCTCAGACCGATCGATCACGAGAACGGCGGAGTCCATAGGTATATAGCCCCTCAATAGGCGTACTCCCACCAGTCCAGCGTCGTCTTGCAATCCAAGTCATTACGGATCCGTCCCCTCTCCCACCCTCCCCTCCTACCTATCAAGCTGCCATCGCCGGTGCTCCAGCCAGCATTAGCAATTTAGCACCAGCACGGTGGCGGAGCAGAGCAGATTTGAATCCCAGAAGAAGCAGACCAAAGTGAGAACGGGGACGAGGATGGCGGCGACCGTAGAGGACCTCTTGAGGCTGGAGATGCCTGCGGACGAGAAGCGCATCATTGCAGAGTACATCTGGGTGGGAGGGAGCGGTCTTGACCTCAGGAGCAAGCCCCGCACTACAGCGAGGTGATTCTCTATCCGCAGGCCATCTTCAGGGATCCCTTCCGAGGCGGCGACAACATCCTTGTCATGTGCGACTGTTACACTCCTCAGGGCGAGCCCATTCCCACCAACACCCGCTACGCCGCCAACAAGCTGTTCCAGCAGGCGCTGGAGACGGAGCCGTGGTTCGGCCTGGAGCARGARTACACTTTGCTGGAGAAGGAGCACAAGTGGCCGCTGGGCTGGCCSGTSAATGGCTACCCCGGCGCGCAGGGGCCGTACTACTGCGGCGTGGGTGCTGACAAGGCGTGGGGGAGGCGCATCGTGGACGCCCACTACAAGGCCTGCGTGTACGCCGGCATCACGATCAGCGGGACCAACGGCGAGGTGATGCCCGGGCAGTGGGAGTTCCAGGTGGGGCCGGCCGTCGGGATCGCGGCAGGGGACGAGCTGTGGGTGGCGCGGTACTTGCTGGAGCGGATTACTGAGATGGAGGGGGTGATTCTGTCCCTGGACCCGAAGCCCGTGGAAGGCGACTGGAACGGTGCCGGGTGCCACTGCAACTTCAGCACCAAGGCGATGAGGGAGGACAGCGGATGGGAGGTGATCATGGAGGGCGTGAAGAATCTGGAGCTGAGGCACAAGGAACACATCAAGGCGTACGGCGAGGGCAACGAGCGGCGGCTCACGGGCCGCCACGAGACGGCCAGCATGGACCGGTTCTCGTGGGCCGTTGCGAGCGGAGGGACGTCCGTGAGGATCGGAAGAGACACGGAGGCGAAGAAGAAGGGGTACATGGAGGACCGTCGCCCGGCGTCCAACATGGACCCGTACGTCGTCACCTCCCTCGTCTTCGACACCACCACGCTCTGGAAGCCATTATAGAATGAGGTATATACAGTTACATAGTGTTTTTGTATGCATGTACGCCATCCCACATACGGGTGATTGTACTACTTGCAAGACTGTTTGTAGTTCGATTGTCTGGTAGATCGGTTCTGCGTAAGTTATAGTGTACTGCGGTCCTTGCGCTTCGTCTTAGCAGCTTGAAGGGTGAATTATTTTACAATGATGCATTCATGAGATAATGTAGATATATCTAGTCAGCACATCCCATTCAGAGCCGGTTCCGATAGTTGATTGTCTTCGAATTGTT